TGGTTTGAGAGTTAAGATATTGCAGGGAATTTAAGGTTCGGCCTTGTCAACCATTCTACCCAAAATCTTTGTACGTGGAACAGGTTCCAGCTTTTTCTGCCAAGAGTCTGGGAATAATACTGTCTGTTGTATTACTTCCATAAGGCAGAAAGACCATGGAAGTAGGGTGCCTTTTCTTTTAACCTTGTGAAGAAGAAAAAAACATTATTATACTTTAGTAATTCCTCCCCCAAATTGGGGGGTGGAAAATAATTTTCACTCAATGTTTTACATTAGGCCTTTGAAAATACAGACAGGGACAGTTCCATACTGTGGGTCTGTACTGGAATTGAATGAGCAACGCTGTAGTTCCCAAAAAGCTATTGTCCCTACAGACTGAGCTTAACTTGCCACCCAAGGACTGAGCTGCTGCTGCCCTTGATAGACTTGTAACTCTACACATTCATTTTTTTTTTTAATTTAATTTTATTTTAATGTTATGTATGTATGATTCCCTCGGGATAAATAAAAGTATCTATTCTAATCTATTCTATCTATCTATCTATCATTCTATTATCTATCTATCTATCGTATCTATCTATCTATCAAAGCTGTGTTCATCCAAATGGCTTAGAAATACAAGGGGTTAAAAGGAATAAACTGACTGAAGAACTCCTGCAGTTACAAGAAGCTGGAGAAGGAGCCAACACTTCAGTTCACCCACAGTGACCACCGCCATTATAAAAGCAGCTTTCACCATGGTCTCAGAGCACACTGCTTTCCTTTCAATCTGGCCACTTCAAAGACCAGCATGGAGAAGAAAATCACTGCAGGACCACCAAATCACCATGCTGCCACTCCCCATCCTTCAATCCTCAAAGAAACCTCCTCCTTCTGATCTATTTCTTGCTGCTGTGGATATCAATTAAGCAACCAGTTTATCTGGTTTTCTGGAAAAAACACGTGTGTAACACACCAAATATTTAAAACGTTATGTTCATCTTGCAAACGTGTTAATAGTAAAATGGTCCTGTTACTTGGTATAGCGCCTTTCTAGTCTTCCGACCATCCTAAAGTGCTTTGACCACTACGTGCCACACCCTTCAACACAGGCAATGCAAAGTCCATCAAACAGAAACTAAAACTTCATACAACATTTCACATTCACACACCGGGAGCCCAATTTGGGGGTTTTCAGTATCTGCTCAAAGAACACTTCGACATTGTGGCAGAAGAAGCCGGGGATCGAAACCAAACAAACCTTTCTGATTGGGGGACGTACCCACTTCTGCTCTGAAAGGCCAACAAAGCCGCCCTGAAGGAATTAACAACTAAAATCATTAACATGGGACTGATTAAAATGAAGGCCTTGAGGTGACACTTATTATTAGTATTTAGGTTTTCCTAAATAAACGTGTTTTTGATCAAGCTAAAACAAATAACTAATTACTTACCTACACTGTAAAAAAAACAAAAAAGAAAAATACAAAAACATGTTTCAAAAGCAACTGTCTTCATTACATTTTAAGTCCAAACTCAAAGTTTTGGAAATAAAACTAACAAAGGGAATTAATAATGATTTACTTTTCTTGAGGGAAGTTTGTTTGTTTGACCTAGGACCTTAATGTTTATTGAAAAGAGAGAGTTCTTTAGTTGTTTTTGTACAATGGTAATGCATACAAAATTGTTCAACCTCATTTTTATCATTCAGGTTATGTTGTCTTATAATTAATACATAATTTCATTTAATTAAAAAGTGTGGAGAAAGAATTTGAAGCCTGCAAGGCAATAAATGGGATAACTTATAATAAATATTGAAAAATATTGAAAATTTGAATTGTTGCAGGCAGGATGACGTGACTTAAAGGAAAGAGGGGATTAATGCAGGTGTTGCTGGCCAACTGTATCACTTAATGATTAACATTTGTGTTTTTTGTAAAAATAATCATCTTTGATTATTTGTCTAATTATAAAAGCTTACAATTGGCTAACAATGTTTTTATACTGTGTCTTGAAAGTGGCGCCAGGAGGAAAACAGGTCAATGGCCTGGTTAGAAATAAAAAGGGGTTTATCCTCTGTGCCATAAATGTGCTTCCATACTTTTTCAGTGGTGAAAAATTTCCTTCACTTAAATCCTCCTTTTGATTAAATCTTATACTTTATTAAATATATTTATTTTCAGGAAGTTTTTGTATGGTCGACAAAAAAACATGTTTTTAATGTTTGTACTGATAATACTTTGAATAACTAATACTTGAAACTCTATTATAATTTTTCTATAATGATATGGCCCTAAATCAAATTTATATATGTTTACCTTTTTTTGAATACTAATTAATGTTGGGTAACTCTCTACTTTCGGTGGGCGACTGTGGCTCAGGCTGTAAGATGTTTAAAATATAAATTAAAAAAGCTGCAAGGCAGGCATTGGGGCGGACCTCGCACTCCACGCGACTCGGGGCGGCGCGGCCACGTTTTCACGTGCCGTCGTAAACAACAAACATCAACATAAAATTCTCAACGTAAATTCAGCTCAAAATCGCCACGCAGCGCTTACTTCCTGTTGCCAGTACAGGTGGCGTTATCACATATGTCTGTGAATATTTATCATTTAGATGTGTTCATGGCGGGAACTTTTTATCAAACACATGAAGGTTTTCCATTGAGATTTGGACCACGTACGCCGAAAGTTATGTGAACTTCCTGGTTTGCACTAGTGGCGGTTATCAGTATTACTGAATTATTGATTACATAGCATGTCAGGTCGTGCGAGACTCTAATCAGGACAAGTGAAAGTTTGGGAGCCCAATGGACAATGTACACTTCCAATATAGCAAGGACCTCGTGTTTGTGGCGGTTACCATCAACAATTTTGACGGCCATGGGCCACAGACACGCCCTCTGGGACCACATTCATCACATATCACAGCAATGAGTTTTGGCATCATTATAATTAAATTTCAGCTGGGATCCTGATTATCTGCTAGGAGTAGAACATGAAAGTATAAAAACGTATACTTGCTGTTCCCTCACTAGTTGCGCTTCTCAGTATTTTACTGAATATTTATCACATAGACGTTTTCAGGGGCGGACTCTTATCAAACATGTGAAGTTTGGTTGCAGTCGGATCATGTATTGCAGAAGTTATGACAAATTCCCTCTTTTTATGCGAGGGAATCGAATGACGTTTCACGGGAACGCCACGCCACGTCCACGGGTGTTTCGACGGAATAAACGTGAATAGCACAACTTTTAATCATGAATGTGTTTAGATGCTGTGTACAAATCTGAAGTCCAAGCCGATAAAATTCCCTGGGAAGTTCGTTCGTTCAAATGACAATGGCCAAAAAAAATTGGCCAACTCTTGACAGCACGCCACGGACACGCCCTTCAACGTACAGTCGCAAATAGCACGGCGTTTCATTTCAACCATTTTTTGACTGTGCCTGACCCAATTTTGAAGCAAGGGATCGGCCAAATTTCCCTAGGAGGATTAGTTCAAATACCAAGGCGAAAATTGATCAAAAAATTGACCACGGAGGTTCAAAATGGCCAATTTTGACAGCACGCCACAGACCACGCCCTTCAAAAACGTACAAGTCGCAAAATAGGCACGGCGTCCCATCAGGGACCATCTTTTGACTGTTACTTGACAATTTTGAAAGGAGATCCAACCCAAAACCTGTAGGGAGAAAGTTCATTAAAAAACAAAACCCTGAAAGGCCAAAAATGACTCACAGTTTTGACATTCGATTCAAAATGGCCAAAACCTTTGAACAAGCAGGCACGGACACTCCCTTTTCAAACCCCCCCCCCCCCCCCCTAACAGTCGCAAATAGCACGGCGTTCATTCAGCAAACATGTTTTGACTGTTACTGACCAAATTTGAATCGACTGATAAAGCCTGTAGGGAGGAGGTTCGTTCAAATACAAGGGGAAAAATTCATCAAAAAAATGGACCACGGAAGTCAAAAATGGCCAACTTTTTGACAGCACGCCACGGACACCGCCCTTCAACGTACAGTCGCAAATAGCACGGCGTTCATTCAGCAACATGTTTTGACTGTACTGACCAATTTGAAGTCGAAACTGATAAACAAGCTGTAGAGGAGTTCGTTTCAAATTACAAAGGAAAATTCATCAAAAATGACCACGGGAAGTCAAAATGGCCACTTTTGGACAGCACGCCACGGACACCGCCCTTTCAACGTTACAGCCGCAAATTAGCCACGGCATGCATTCAGGCACCATTTTTTGGACTGTACTGACAATTTTGAAGCAATATCCGATGAAATTTACCTAGGAGAGTTTCCTTCAATACAAGGCCAAAAAGTGAAAATGACCAACAAAATGCCGCCGTGGAGTGAAATTGGAAATGAAAATGCCGACTTCCTGTTGGGTTTGAGGTATGGGTCCAAGA